AAAAGAGAGAGAGGCAGTATAAAAATAACTTTAACAATCTAACAGATGGCCAGAAAGGAAAAAGAAGATGATAAACAGAAAACAAAATAAGTTGGTAGAAAGAATTTCTGATATAACGCTCCCAATAAATATAAATGGATTTAATTCATCTATTAAAAGACAGAGATGGCCGGGTGCAGTGGCTCGTACTTGTAATCCCAGTGCTTTGGGAGGCCAAGGCAGGTGGATCATAAGGTCAGGAGATCAAGACCATCCTGGCCAACATGGTGAAACCCCGTCTTTATTAAAATCACAAAAATTAGCTGAGCGTGGTGGCATGTGCCTGTAATCCCAGCTACTCAGGAGGTTGAGGCAGGAGAATTGCTTGAACCAGGGAGTCGGAGGTTGCAGTAAGCCGAGATCATGCCACTGCACTTCAGCCTGGTAACAGAGTGAGACTCCGTCTCAAAACAATAAATAAATAAAAAATAAAAATAAAAATAAAATAAAAGACAGACACTATCAAATTGGATGGAAAAAAGAAGTCCTCCTTTCATAAACATGCTGCTATGGTCTGAATGTTAGTGTCTGTCTTAGTCTGTTTGTGCTACTCTGACCGAGTATCACTGACTTGGTAATTTACAAAGAAAATAAATTTATTTATCACAGTTCTAGAGGCTGGGAAGCCTAAGACTAAGGTGCTAGCAGGTTTTTTGTCTGGTGGGGGCTGCACTGTCCAAAGAGGAGGAATATTATATCCTCACATGGCAGAAGGTGGAAGGGCAAACGCGACAAATTCCCTTGTCATGCCATTTTATACAGGCACCTAATCCCATTTATGAGGGCAGAACCCTCATGAGTAATTTACTTCCCAAAGGCCACACTTCCCAATACTGTTGCATTGGAAACATCTGAATTCTGGAGAGGAACATATTCAAACGATAGCATTCTGCCCCTGCCCCCCTCACCCAAATGTATGTCACATAAAAATATTTCATGTCAATAGCGCCCAAAATCTGAACTCATTCCAGCACCAACTTTATAAAGTATAAAGTTAAGAGATATGGGAACCAATGCATGGTTCATCCTGAGACAAATTCCTCCCCAGCTGTAAACCTATGAAATCAAACAAGTTATGTGCTTCCAAAACACAATAGTGTACAGGCATAGGATAGACACTGCTATTCCAAAAGGGAGAAATAGGAAAGAAGAAAGGGGTAACAGGTCCTCAGTAAGTCTAAAACCCAACAGGACAACCCTGCCTGGTTGCTTTGCTAGGAGCAGTCCCCACTTCAATTCTCACTGGCGAGGGTCACTACACACCTCCCAATACTCGTGCATTGAGAGCATCTGAATTTTGGCGGGGAAACATTCAAATGACAGCAGTGTCCCCCTAAATTACTGTTGGAACGTAATATCAAATGTGATAGTATTAAGAGGTAGGGCCCTTGAGAAGTGATTAAATCATGAGGGCTCCATCCTTATGAATGGGATTAGTGCCCTCATAAAAGACTCCGGAGAGCTCTCTTGTCCTCCTGCTGTAAGGATGTGACAAGAAGGTGACATCTTTGAAGCAGAGAGCAGTCCTTCATTAGATACCAAATCTACTGGTGCCTTGATTTTAGACTGCCCAGCCCCCAGAAATGTGAGCAATCAATTTATACTGTTTATGAATTACCCAATCTAAGGTATTTTGTTATAGGAGCCAAAATAGGCTAAGACACATGCCTTAAGCAGAGAGAAACTTAAAGGATGAACGTAAAAAGACGATATAAGAATAAAAAGATTACAAGGAAAATACAAACAACAGAAAAGGTGATGCAACAATATTGATATGAGACAAAATAAAAAAGGCCAAAAGCACTAAAAAGAGCTATTTCATCATGATAAAAAAAGATTCAATTAGTACCTTTATGAGCACACAGAGACAGAAAACTTGATACACTCAAAAATGATATTAATTTTGGAAAATTTTGATATATTTATTAAAAATTGATATATTCAGCAGAGAAAAATTAAGTAATAATATAACTACTTGAATAAAATTAGATCAACAAGTTTGATTAATAGAGAACCTTGCACACAACAAGTGGAGAATATATGTTATTTTCAATATGCGTGGAACATTTAAAAAAAAAAAAAAAAAGGCCAGGGCTTGGCATGGTGACTTACACCTGTAATCCCAGCACCCTGAGAGGCTGAGGCAGGTGGATCACTTGAGGTCAGGAGTTTGAGATCAACTTGGACAATATGGCAAAAACCCATCTCTACAAAAAGTAAAAATTAGCCTTGGTGGTGTGTGCCTATAGTTCTGTCTACCTGGGAGGCTGAGGTGGAAGGATCATCTGAGCAGGGGAGGTTAAGGCTGCAGTGAGATGTAATCAAGTCACTGCACTCCAGCCTGGGCGACAGAGAAAGACACTGCAAAAAAAAAAAAAAAAAAGAAAAAAGAAAAATCACATACTAGGTCACACGAAAATTACAACAATTTCCAAGATTTAATATAATCTCTATCTACAAAGCATATAAATTACAAACAACACTAAAAAGATGGTAAAAAAAAAATAGCAACCTTTAATTGGAAACAAAAAATGCACTAAAAATAGCTCATTGGTTAAAGAGGAAATTACAATGTCATTAAATATTTTAAAGTAAAGACAACAAAAGTACCACATGATAAAACTTGTCAGATGGAGCAAAGTCCTATAGAAAGGTAAGTACAGCCTTAAATATAATTACTTTATTTATTTATTTATTTTTGAGATGGAGTCTTGCTCTGTTGCCCAGGCTGGAGTGCAATGGCACAATCTCGGCTCACTGCAACCTCTGCCTCCCAGGTTGAAGCGATTCTCCTGCCTCAGTCTCCTGAGTACCTGGGACTATAGGCCTGTGCCACCATGTCCCACTAATTTTTGTATTTGTAGTAGAGACAGAGTTTCACCATGTTTGCCAGGCTGGACTTGAACCCCTAACCTCAGGTGATCCGCCTGCCTTGGCCTCCCAAAGTGGTAGGATTACAGGCGTGAGCCACTGCGCCCAGCCCCATATAATTATTCTTAAAAAAAAAGAAACATTAGAAGCAAAGAAGCTAAACTTTCAAGTCATGTGGCTAGTGAAAGAATTACAGAGTAACAAAAGTAAAAAAAAAAAAAAAGGAAAGAATTCATATAATCTATGAAACAAAAAAGAAATAAAATAATTCACAAAACTAATTCTTTAAAAAAATAATAAAGTAGACAAACCTCTGGCAAGACTGATAAGATTGGAACAATAAAGATGAACACTATTCAGAATGAAAAATGGGACCTAAACACAGTTAGACCCTTATTTTTAAAAACCCCAAGAGAACAATGTGAACAAGTTTATTCCAAAAACAATTTCTAAACTAGATAAAAAAGAATAATTTCTAGAAAAAAAGGTTCAAGAAGCAACACAAAGCCATAAAAATATATCTAGTTATACACATCTATCTTGACCCGTATGTATACATCTGTAATAAACAGGCTCCCCCTGCAAAACAAGCTAAGTCTAGATGGTTGCTGGAGAGTTTTACCAAACACTCACACTCATGTTATGAAAGCGCTATAAAATCTTACTGCCAAATCCAGACATGAGCATCAGGAAGAAAAGAAAATTATAGGCCTAGTTCGCTAGTCACAGATGTAAAGTCCCTAGACAAAACACTAGCAAATTAAATTTGGCAATAAATAGCAATATCATGAGCAAGTATTAATAGGATTTATTCCAGTAAAGTTCAATATCAAAAAAACTATTACCATAATGTACCCATTATCAGATTCAAGAAGAAAAACAATAGGATCATGTCAATAAATGCAAAAAGCACTTGTCAAACTTCAGCATTTATTAACAATGAGGATTCGTAGGAAACAGCCAAAGAAGGAAACTTTTTAACTATTAGTAGTACCTACACAGAAAACGTTTCCTTAAGAGAGGAAAAAATCTTTGAGTTTATAGTTTACAGTTTCCAACCCACTGATAAATTCAGTTACAGTGAGCATTCATTTAATTGCTAAAATAAGAAAGCAGTTGACCAGTAAAGCCTAGCTACCAATACGCTGCAACAGACATCACAATTAACGGAAATTTTTGGAAGCATAAGAAGGATGCCGGCAGGTCAAGGACATTAGTTGGTCGCCATTTCTATTCAATGTTAAACTAGGAGTCATGGTCTAGACAATGGAATACTATGCAGCTGTTAAAAAAGACAACACATAATAAACAAAAAAGAAAATGAGGTTAGGGAGTGTGGGCATGAGGGGACTAACGCGTCCCCCATGAGGGGACACCAGCGTCCCTTGGCCCTGCCACCCTTTTTTTTTTTTTTTAAACTTCCACCTGACAAACTGACATTTATCCTTTAAATACCTTGGCAGGCATCACCTGCTGCCCCACAGATTAATCCGTCGTCTTTTGCACTTCCTTTGTGCCTCGTGCGTACTTCTATAAGCAAATGTATCCGGCGGTTTTACAAGAATTTGCTTACCTACCAGTGTACTTAACCCATGGCTAGCACAGAGTAGGACTGGAAAGAAATGCTGCACAGACAGCACTTTTCCCTGAAGGCTCTAGGGCTCCCCGAGCCCCTGCATTAAACTGGTTTGGGCAAAAGGACAGGCATCGCTGAGAGCCGCAAGGCCGCCGGCCAGCTGCGGGGTCCCCTGTAGGCAGAGCCCTGAGTCACACGCGGACGCGGTCCGGGCGTTTCTTCTCAGGCCCTCAGCCCGGCCCACTTCCTCTTTCCTCACTTTAGAGGGAATACAGCGATCCCTCTCAAAACAAAACACACACCAAAACACCATTTTTTTTTTTTTTAAACAGGAAGTCCAGAGGCCCGGGTCCAGGGCATCCAGTCCCGGATCTCGAACGCCCTCCTCGCCCCTCGCCCCGCGTCGCCCGGCTCCGCTCCCGGCTCCGCTCCCCACCCCGCGTCCACCGCTGGAGCCTGACAGCCCCGCCATCCGCGCAGGCGCCCCGCCCCGGCCCGCCCCGGCCCCGCCGCCCGCGCTCCCGTCCCCGCCCCGGCGGGTCAGAGCCGGTGCCGGGCGCCCAGGGGTTGCGGCGCCGGGCGGGAGGGCCGCGCCTGAGCGGGCGGCGGGGTGGCGGGGTTCCTGCGCGCGGCCCGCCATGGAGGTGGAGGAGGCGTTCCAGGCGGTGGGGGAGATGGGCATCTACCAGATGTACTTGTGCTTCCTGCTGGCCGTGCTGCTGCAGGTAAGTCCCCGCGGCCCCGCAGCCGCACTTCCCTCTTCAGGGCCGCCCGGCCCAGGGCTAGGCGTCCGCTCCCGGACCGCCGGGGCCGAAGCCGAGGCTCTGCAAACACCGAGGTGTGGCGAGCGTCGGGGTGGGGCAGGGGCGAGGCGCCGCGCGGTGGCCTGGGCCCGGCCCGCAGCGTCAAGGTCGCCGGCCGGCCTCAGGGTCTCTTGGGTTCAGCCGGGCCCTCCACCCCGCCGCCTTGAGTGCTGGAAGGAGCGTGTTGGGGGAGGTTCCTCAGCTGCTATGCTGGTTAAAGAGGGATGCAAAATTGTGTTACCTGCCCTACGCTGTTGCCTGTAACATGCTGCAAATATGAAGGGAATTGTTACCCTACCTGTGGCACTGTCACCTTGGAATCTAAGACACAGTCTTGATAACCTGCAGACAAAAGGTTGTGTCTAGGATCGCCTCCCTCTGCGCTGGGTATCCTCTTCCTCTTTTCCTGGGCTTGAGGGGACTTACTCTTCCAGGGGCTTTCAAAGCCTAGAATTTATTTCCCTCTGATTTAAGTTCTGCTGGCTCGTTCGGCCCTGCGCCAGCCTTGGGCTGAGACTCCTGTAAGCCGAATAGTGCCATCTACCATGTGTGGTTATCAAATGGAATCACTTCTTCATTATAAAGAATTCTGAGAATCTGCTGTACACCCCAGCCTGAAAATATCGATTCCATATGCGAAAGGTCACTACAGATTAACTGCGCCAGGCAAGGGTTAGTCCTTCACCAACTTAAATGGCTCATTTGACATTAGTCCGCTTCTCTCAATATGCCAAAGGCATTTCATTCACAAATCCTTTCTTAGTATTTGCTGTGAGCCAGCCATTTTACTCTTTCCTTCAGTCAACACGTTTAATACGGGCTAGGATGTGCTGAACATAGGGATGCCATGGTGGACAAATCATTCACTGCCTTCCGGAGCTTGCATTCCAGTGGCTGCGGGTAGGGCAGTTAAGTAATTTAGTTAACATGTGATGATAGTTATTCTGCAGGAAGTGCAGAGTGGTCATGGAGATAGCCACCAGTCCACAAGTTGCTTAAAGCTTGCATATGGCAGTGGTTCAACAGGAAGATGGGGGAAGGAAGGGGTTGACTTCTTGATTAAAATGTTTGGAAGTTCAGTTGATTTCATCATCAGCCAGAAACGAACGGTTCAAATGATGGAGTCAGTTCTTTGTCTAGCAGAACAGTTCCCAGCTGACGAATATGCAGTATTCTGAAGTTCTTTTAAGCTCGTTGTTCTAGCTTTAAACAAGCTTTCCCCAGGGAGAAAAAACGTTCAAGCTAGATAAGAGTATTTAATACAGAGAAAGTAGAATTGCAACCATGATGCCTGATCTTTATTTATAACTTTCTTTGAGAAAACCCATTTTCTGTTCCGGCCATGAATTCCAGGAACCTAATTCCTTTCTTGAACAATCCCAGTTCCCCAATTCTCTATCCCTACTCTTCACTTCCTGTTATCATTTTCTTATTTGCCTAGCCAAGTATCCACTAACTTGGAGTAAGTTTGTCTTCAGTGGAGTGAGGTTCTAAAAAGGCCAGTGTTCTGGGTTTAGGACATGTTAAGTTTCTCTGACTTATTTATGGTTGACCCAGTTACAGTTTGCTATCAAAAAGTTCCAAACCCATGTCCATGACCGTTCACTAGACCTTGGCTGATTTATGGTCAGTATTTGCTGTACAAGGACCAGGTCTCAGAGTGTTGGGGATGAGTGACTGGTTGTTTGTCTCGTAGCTGTGGGTGGGGAGATGCCCTGTAGCTGTGCCTATACCGGTGGAGGAGATGCCAGCCTAGGCAAAAGTGAATCCTTCACATGCTACATGTTTTTAAGGACTCAGTTACCCCATTGAGATACACCATCCAGGTGGTTGTAGAGCCACGCAGGGCTATCCTGGGTATGAGAGTGGATATCCCTAAAGACCTCTCTACCAGGTCTGTTGTTGGAGATGTTTTGGGTTAGGGCAGCTGGTCTGTGGGGTAGGAGTACTGTGGAGTCCCATTGCTCAGTTGTATCACAGATGATTTCATCATTCTTGGGGGTGAGGTTTTGCTTCCCCCAGCAGAGTAAGAAGCCCTTTTTACACAGTTACCTTAAATGAAAGGGGGTTTGTCTGCTTTTAAAATCAAAGGAGTTTTTGTACCATTGCCCAAGCAAGGGGCAGACCAACAACACAGCAAGAAGACCAGAGAGAGGGAGCCTCTGCTCCAGTGGGAGCCTTCTCCCTATCTGCTATTTGGTAATGATTAACGCCAGTTGAGAGGCACAAAACCAGAAGGACAGAGGTGGAAACTTTACAGGCCTTTTAACATTTTCCTTCTTCTGGGACCATTATTATTATTTTTAAAAATGATTTTCCGTTTACTCCAAACACATCCATGTTCAAACTAGGAGGACAAAACCACATGGCAATGCCAATTCTAAAGGGTTTTTGGTTAACTGTTTTCTTGAATTATTGGTACCATCATGTACATCATTAAAAGTTACCTCACTATCCAGTTTCCTTTGACTAGGAGACTTGCCTTCATACTCCTCGCAAACATAATTTTTGGAATCTCAATAGCGTTCAACTAGGAGATAACTAAAGAACAGATGCAGATTTTGCAGATTTTTCCTCAGCATAAGATGCAAATGCCCTGAAAATGGTGATATGTGGTATTAATGTACGTAAACAAAAAGTGAAGGGAAAAAGATTGCCTATGTAAAAATGGTTGATTTATGAATAAGCAATAAGCTTTACAGTTAGAAACATTCTTACTATCAAAATGTACTTGCTGTTCCTAGGATCAGAGCTAGCCGTGATATTTAAATAGGAATAATTCTATTTAGTGTATTACTGTTTCTCTTCTGATGGTCATTCCGAGTTGCTGCCATCATCACTATTTTGTGTTTGTGTATGTGTTTGCTTGTTGTCTAGGCTCTCTGGAGGAGGAAGGTTGAAATACAATTCATTGTTTCTTGATTTCTTTAGATGTGAAATGAAAATGGACCTTACTTCTTTGTTCTAAGCCAGAGGCTCCTGCTTTGTCATTTTCCTCAAAATCATGAATCATACATTGTAGTATAATTTGTGCAGAATTTAAAACCCCCATTTACTATCAGGAACATGTAATCTATAACAAGCATTCGCCAGCAAAATTGTGATGCTGTGCTATGAATCTCATCTTAGATTCTGGTGTTCAAGAATGCATTATTTTTATATAAACTCTTAATAACCTTATTTTTTAGATCCTGGAATGACCAGTACATTAACATTATCCATGCAATAAATAGCTTTTCACGGCATTTTAGAAAGTGGAATGATTGCAGAAGAGGAAACTGTAATGGTTAACACATGAAAAGATGTTTTAAGTTCAGTGGTCATCTGGGCCAGGCATATTAAAATGGCTATGAAATACCATTTCACACTTACCATATTAGCAAACATTAAACAATCTAACAGTACGAGTGTGATGAAATGAGAAACAGAAACTCTACCCCATTTAGAGAACAAGTTGGCACCATCTAGTAGAATTAAAACCTAGCATTGAACTCGTAGGTACATATCCTACATCGTCCCTTGAGCATGTGCATAGGGAGATATGTGTAAGATGTTTACTGCAACACTGTCTATTATAACAAAAGTTAGAACCACCTGACTTTCAAAACAGGACTGGATAAGATGTGGTATAAATCTAATTGAATACAACATCTGAAATAAATGAACTAGATCTGTATACGACTGTATGGAGGAATTTCTAAAACACAATGTTAAGTGAAAAAAAGCAGAACAGTACATACCATGTGACACATATTCTTAATACAAATTTTAAAAACACACAAACCAATACTATATTTGTTTCATAAATATATATAAACAGTGTAGAAATATAAGAACATGGAGTAGAAAGATCCACACCCAATTCATGAGATTGGTTGCCTCTTGGGAAGGAAGGGAAGGGGTGGGCTTAGGGGAGGGTACAAAGGAGATTGCATCTGTTATCATTTGTTGATTGTGATAGTAGTTTCACGAATCTTGGTTTTTGCTTTTCCATATTAAATATTTTTAAGTGAAAAGATGGTAAAGGGAAGAAGATATGCATATCTAGGAGAGAATACTATAGTTTGCTGTATGAGAATAATGGTTCATTCTTTTTTTAAAATCAATATTCCTTTGATCAATTATGGCTGTGAATTGTGGTCCTTTAAGCACAGGAGGGTGGGGTAGAGTGAGTTTTATTTAGCCTGTTTTGTTAAACTTCATGTAGAATGCTATCACAACTTACCTCCCCTGTCTGCTTATACGTGGCACCATGTCCCTCCCTCCACGAGAAATTCTTAGGTTTGGTGAGATATGACTGAGATCATAGCTGGTTCTTCTAACCTCCCTGGCATAAGCAAGTGATGAAGTTCACACCGTAAGCATTAGTGAAGCCCTTGTTCAGTTATAAAGACCAGCTGTCATCCCCAGGGTGTTCTCACCATCACTGAGGTTTCAGCCATGGTGAGAACCTATGGTCTTAGTAAGACCCTCTCATGACTCCAAAACATGTGGCCATTTACCAGGGCTCTCTGCCAGTTTGAGCAAGTTTTATGCTGCTCCTACTGTCAAATTTTATTTCTATCAGCCCTCACACAGTGGCCTGGAGGTTGGGTCTCCTGAGGGTTTATGGTGATCTGGGAACTTTTGCCTTTCACCAGTTTAGGTGGGTGGGGCAAAGAGACAAACAGTAGTTTGATCAAAGAAACCAAAGCCACACTGGCCCCCACACCCTCAGGAAAACTGTTGTTGTCCATAGACAGACACTGCCCCCTAGTGTAAAGCAGATAAAGTTGCTGATCTGTCAGACAGATTTTCATCCAGGGAGGTTGTAGAGATACAGGGGCCTCCAGAAGGGTTAAGGAGCTCCTTTGGGCCTGGATGTCTCAAGAATTAGGACATTCCATGGGAAGCAACTAGCCTGATGCCTCTGCAGCACCCAACCCCCCCGCCGAATGCCTTCCAAGGCCATCCATGGCTGTTTGACTTGTGCCTTGACAGTGAAGGTATTATTTCCCAAGATAGCACAAAAAAAGTCATTAAAGTCACGAAGACGGGCAA